TATATATATATATGGAAACCAAAAGCATTTCTTTAATATTGTGTGATTTAGGAGTCTGTCTTGTAAAAAAACATGCAAGCCATCTAGCTCAAATGAGGTGTAAGGAGAAAAGTTTGAAAGATGTGTCCTTCAAATGGGATACAACCTGGAAGCGTATCAACCTTTCAACAAATTGCCATCTTAACCCAGTTATAAACGTGTGGAAGTTTGATACATGCTGCCTAGACAATTAGCAACTGCACTGTCGGGAGCAGAATAATCCTATTAGGCAGGCTACAGAGAGTGCTCGACAGCAAGTGTTTCTATCCTCACTGACAAGTTCCTGCACCAGACCATGAAAGGTTTGGGTAATTCAAGGTGGCAGAGGGTTTGCTTTTAAAATGCAAGACTGTCACAAATATAGTATGGTGAAATAAGTACTTTATACCTAGATTTTGCTCATGTATGTCAAAAACTAGTTAGATTAAAAATGCTTGCATAAATCTGATCATCTCCAAATTTGAATTCATTTTGGAAATTAATTTGAGTCAGCATGCTTTACTGGAAAATGTCTGAGTGAAATAAAATAGGTCTAATACACATGTGGACATGTTTGAAGGCATTGTTGAATAATCCTGCATTAAATGCAATTAGAACAATTTATCAAAGTAGTTGATAATGAGAGAGAATGAAAAACTGTGGCTGTGTGCTTTTAGTTTAGTTAAAAAATCCAAACAATTAGAGTAGAAACATAAAACAATAGAATCAAAATAATACAAACTGAATCTTTTTATTTTTTTTAAAACCAGTAAATGTCAAACTCATGAGGATGGACGACCACATGAGCATTATGATTGCCCTCAAACGATCAGTTGTACCCAACTTCAATGTTTTGTTTTTAACTTTGACTAAACACGTAACATCACATTCCTCATCTCATTGCTACAACTGAACACAGCTAGCAAACAATAACTGAGCTCTATGTGGTATTTCTTGCATAGAAACAACATTTTATCATGTCCTCTTGTAAACACTGAAAAGTGCCATGTGTACAACTGACTAAAAGTAAAATAAGTAATACAGAAATACTATTAGAAGTAACAGTGAGAGAGTCTTAACCACTATTGAATTGTGGTGAGTATAGCCACCATCTTGAATTCTGAACTGGGATAGTTGGGAGTTGCTTCCACTTTCCTTCAGGGAATTCGCACTGGACAGGGTGTTCAAGTTTAAATTTACAATTTGTGCATGGTAAATTCCCGGTTCCCAGTACAATTGGGCCTCAGTGATCAGTAGAAATGCAGCTAAATGAAGATTTTAAGTGGCAAATTTTGTCAGCTACTAGCTACACTGTTCACCTCCACTTAGTGGTGGGATGCTGTCATTTTGAGGGTAAGATAAATGATATGCATTATGGGAATGTAGTTTATGGTCAATGCTGGCTTTGAAGCGGCATACTCTTACTTTAGGACGTTAATATGTCTTTGAAGTTCTTGCGGGCAACATAAAAGGCTGTGTCAGGCCACAGTTAGCCAGCGGACCTTGGGTTTGACACATGCGCAGTATATTAATGAATTATTACATGCAAAATATTTTAATCTTTCTAAATTATATGTGAATTTTCTAGCTATAGATAAATGTCAAAATAAATAGCTGGTATGAAAAAGGAGAGACATTTTTCTTCAAATMTTAATGAGAATTTTTGTCCTAAAGGCATGGAGACGGTTCCTTTTCCATTACAGCATTTCCTCTCAACCGTATTTGTTTATTAAGAGGGGGGTTTGGAAAGAGTTGCAGGCAGTATGAGTCATGAAGTTAAACCTTTTCCATGCTCCATTTAACAAGCTGGATTTCAGATACATGCTTTTGGAATCCGGGGACAAACTATTCCTATATTTGCATGTGGAAATAGTGACGTTAGACTTTTATAGCAAGCACGTCACATTTACAACACCCACATGTTAGAGGAACATCAGTGCCTTTCAGGATGCTGTTCTGATACCGTAGACTAGATTTTACTGGCCTTATAAGGTATCTGATTAAAAGCAACCAAAAAAAAAATCAAATAAATGCAATGGCTATAATGAGTTGTTTTTTTTTCTGTCTAATCTTGCTATTTGGAAAATTTATATGAAAGTAAACACAGAATCAACCATAACAGCACTTTTGTGGAGTGTGAAAATTACATCACGAGCAGTGTAGTGCCTTTAATTAATTGAGCTATATATTTTCGCACTTCAGCTTTGCCTGATCACAACTGTCTTGCTTTAACTGCATGGTAAACAATAACAATTTAAGACTAAGAAGGACCTAAAACAGCTTTTAAATTAAAGTAGTAAAAATGGCTTGTCATTAGTGGAAAAATGGCACACTTGCACATCACACTGGAAAGATTTAATGGCATCACATAATGTTCATAATCATCATTAAAGATGACAGTAACAAAATAGATTACAAACACATTAATTAAACACACATTAAGTTGCTCTATCTCACATACCGTTTTTTTTTCTTTTTAATTTTATGTTTTCCGACATTGTTAGTGAGCCTGTCACCTGGGCTGCAGTTTCATGATTTTCTGCAGACTCGACAGCGACTGATGACACTCTGTAAGGATGTTCCCTTYAATGTCTGAGGAACTGGTTTGCTGCAGGAGTAAGCAAAACACAGATGTATGCAAAGCTGGATATTGAAAAGCGAATGAGTGACTAGTTTTGACGGAAGCAAGATGGAAACAGGAGAAAGCGTGCTCGTTTTTAAGGAAAGCTGTGAAAATCTCAACTGAAAATATCAGATAAGAATATGCTAGGATATGTGTTAGGATTCAAACTTTGAATGATAACATCTGTCAATAATGAATGGTTTACCTGAACATGTTGTTTTGGTTGAGAGAGGCCAACCAGTAACTGTAAGAGTCAGGGTAGTAGTTGCAGGTCCCTCTGCCATGACACTCAATGAAGGGKACTTGACGGAAAATTTCCAAACATGAACCAGGAGAAATCAGGGGCTGAGAGGATCCTTCTGCCCCAGCTCCTGTTTGCTGTAAAATATAAGAAGGATCCCTGATTAGTTGTAACATTAGACTTTATTTGATAAACATTTATTTTAACTGTAAAATAAAGACTGTAAAAATACTGTAGGCTGTTTAGTTTTGTAAATCTTTTTTAAATATATTTTAATATGGACAGAGCCATTTTATTTACACACAAAGCCTTCTGGGTAAATTATGACGTGGATACGTCCTCGATGTGAGGGAGCTATATCCACCCTGAAGGTTAATCTTAGACAATATCTGACAATTGGCTCTTTTAAATGAAACCAGAGAGTGTTGACAGAGAGGAGAAGGTAGAAATGACTCTGCCTGTAACTGAAAATATGGATGGAGGACAACAGAGCTGCTTCATGGAAGAAGAACCTCAGCTTAGCCTGTTAGCCTTCACGCTAACAAATATGACATAATTTATATGTTTAGCTTGGCGCCAGCGTGACATACAAGCTAAACAGAGGTCCTCCATCCACATTTTCTGGAGTAATTTTTTGCGTTCCCCTCTCTGTCATGTRGATGGAGGACCTCAGTGACAAGAGGAGAATGTGTAGCACTAAGCTAATATGATGATAGCATTGGGGCTAATGCTAAAGCTAACAGGCTAAGCTGAGGTTCTTCTTCCATGAAGCAGCTCTGTTGTCCTCCACCTATATTTTCAGTTACAGGCTGAGTCATTTCTAGTGGTCCAAATGCACAGCCTCTTTTTTTCCGGTCTTCCCGGTCTTCCAAGGACCCGGCCCACCTCAACCGTGTAGTCTGGGCCCTCTGGAGGACCCGGCCTGTCGTTTTGGACACAGCTATAGACCTATCCATGTCATCATTTACCCAGAATGCTTTGCGTGTAAACAAAATGCCAGTGTAATATAGTTTTAAACTTTTAGTTTAAAAATGATAAAAATGGAACATCCTACAGTATTTTTACAGTCTTTATTTTACAGTTAAAATATGTGTTTATTGAATAAAGTCTAATGTTACAACTAATCAGGGATCCCTTTAAGAAAACAAATAAGATGAAGGGATTCAAGAGATAAAATGGGTGTTTCCTTACCATGACAAATGAGTATCCAGTCCATAAGGACTCCCAGCTCTGGGGACAATCAGGTATCTGAGTAGTTTGACTGTGGATGGTCATGACAGTGGAAGTAGTTTCGCAAACTGAACACCTAAACCACAAATTTGTACAAAAATACACATCATTGTCAGGTGCTTTTGACAGAAAGGTATTTTATTTAACCTGCTATTCAAATCAGTTTAGAAATAGATATTTTGCTTGCAAATACTGTAAACATTACCCTGATGTATTTTTTTTTTCTTTAGGAAGAATATTGTAGAAAATGTGTGCATATGCACACTCTCCTACCTGCTGATGTAGGAGGCCAGCTTGTCAGCTGTGATGGAAACCATGTTGGCAGGCATCGGCTCATCAGTGGACAGCCAGTATGAGTAGTCATTACGAGAAGCGTAGCGGCAGGTACGTTCCGTGTCACAGAACAGAAAGGGCATGGTGGAGAAACGAGGGAGACAGCTCCCCACGGTGCCTGAGAGACAGTAAAAAAAAAGGAAAAAATGTTTTATTGATAAAATGGATACCATACAAATTGTTCTCCACATGATGGGCATTATATTCATACCGAGGTCCTGACCGTGAGCTCTCTCATTTCCATTGATGAAGAGGAAGGAGTAACCAGAATAAATAAGGCTGGTGCCACTGGGGCAGTCAGGGACCCTGATTGTCTGACTGTGTCTAGCTATTAGGAAGCTGTCAACGTAACCTGCAGCACCTTTTCCAGGCAAACCTCTCTGACCCTTATGGCCTGGGTTTCCATATCTGCCTTCTGGACCTGGAGAGTACAACAAATACATTAACACTGAAACCACTTTGCTTATAGTGAGTGGAAAAGTTTATACTATTTTTGTCTTAACTAATTTCCACTCTTGGATATGTGAGTGCAATGACGAATTTTTCAGCATCATGCAGCAGATAATACTGTTGCAGAGTAAAAAAAAACTTCAACTCAAGATTAAATGTTGGTTATGTTATAGTGTACCTCACTGTCATGAGATACTGTAAATGTTAACACACCTGGCAGCCCTGCTTTTCCTTTGGCTCCTTTGTGACCAGTAAATCCAGGGGAACCAGGTGGGCTTATTCCAGGTATGCCTTTCAAACCAGGTTGTCCTGGGATGGAACAATTAAGATTCACACATGAAGCTTAAAAAAAAATACCGCTTGAAATTTTTTTATTGATAAATGCGTTCCAGCACACCTAAATAGAATCACAATTACTTTTTAACTTTATGAAATGTAACATGAACTTTATCAGTTGCTTTGAAGAGTATACATGACATAAAATAATAATACAAACATGTTTGTGATGGCTGAACTGAGATGAAAATGCTAACCTGGAGGTCCCCGTGTTCCTGGTGGGCCAGTGATCCCTGGGGATCCTTGATATCCTGGGGGACCAGGTGAACCAGGAGGTCCTGGTTCATATGTATCTCTGCCAAATGTTGGTTCACCTTTGAGACCTGTGGATGCGCATGATTTATGGAGGGTTATGACCCCCACAATAATTTGATCCAGTCATTGTAACAGTTTACAGTGTAAATGATTAAATGGAATAAATATTCCATGCTTTTACTGAAACATTTACCACACCTGTGGGTCCAGGAAAACCTTTAGGTCCAAGGACACCAGGTAAACCTGGTCTGTATCCAGGGTCTCCCACATCACCTAAGCGTAAATATGTAAACACTTCAAACAAACTTCAAAGCTTGTCTTCACATCTTATTTTRTAAATACTACTTTACCATGTTTTACAGACAAAAAAGTGAAATGAAGTCTCATAAATCTTGCTTTTTTGTCTTTTATGCTCAGTTTTATGTATTTTTTTCTGTTGTGGGAACATAAATCAGCTGTGGGCTATTCTTCTTTAGTGATAGATCACACTTTGTCTGCAGCTGAAAGATGATAGATTACCTGGAGGCCCTTGTTTTCCAGAAGGGCCTTGATCTCCTCTTGCTCCTGGGCCTCCTGGTAAGCCTATTGGACCCTGGAGAGACAAATGGAACAAAAGGAAGTCAAAGATCAGACTTGAGTTATTGCTTTGAGGGTTTGATTTAGAACTTTATTCATACCCAAACGCAAGCATTAACTTTAAAAATTGAGAAAAAAATAGTTTGGCTTCAGTAAAGCAAGATGAAAAGAATAATTTGCTGTTTTAAACTTTTGCAAAGCACGGTTAACTCACATTTTTAATTAAGAGTTCTTAAAAAAGACTTCAACTCATAATGCCCACAATCTTGTTGTGGCATAAATGTTGCAGTCACTTACAGGTGGGCCTTGAGGGCCTGGATCTCCTGGGGGCCCACAAAAACCTGGGTTTCCTGAAGAACCTGGTTCTCCTCTGTCTCCTTTGAGCCCTTGCTCTGTTGAACCTGGAGCACCAGGAGGGCCAGGATAGCCTGTGTTGTGTTTGGACATAGATTAACAATGAAACTAACTTCTGTACACCACAATACAGAACATTTGTACCACTTTCAGTACACATCAGAACCCCCTTACCTCTGCTCCCAGGATTGCCGGGTAATCCACGATCTCCTTTGGGTCCAGGAACACAAATCCCTTCTCTTCCTAGTTGTCCCCTTAGACCATGGATGCCAGGTGGACCTGGAAGCCCTTTATCTCCTGTTGGTCCATGACTTCCTCTTACAGGCAATCCAGGGAACCCAGGGTTCCCAAGAGGACCTGCATTACAAGAAGGAAGGGATCACTTGTATCAAAACTATTTCTGAATTTTGAATTAATTTACTCACAGCATGATACAAACCTGATAACTCTAACCCTCATGTGTTTTTTTGTAAGTTTTCCAACTTCTCGTTGCTTCTTCGTAACTAAGTAAAAGTTGTAATATAGTATGTATGCATATATATATATATATATATATCTGAACAAGGCTCATTAGAAATATCTCAAAAGATGAATCCCTACTAACATAATGATTAAATTGCCAGTGACACTGTAACACTGAGGTATTTGACTGAAGGTCATGAAACATTCTGTTAAAGCTCAATTTTATATGAAAACTTCTGAAATTATAATAAAGTAAGTCTCCTAACAAGGTTCCGTTTTGAAAATAATAATATTACCCACCTGGCAAACCTGGATCACCAGGTCTCCCTGGTAGTCCTGTTCCTCTGCCTGAAGACAAGAGAGAGAGATAAAAAAATGATAGATGACGTTTGATGGCAGAAAATGTGAAAAAAAAATGGGTTCATGACATGCATTGAGTAAACAAGACAAGTTTTTTTAAACATGATATTTCTTACCACTGTCCCCTTTCTGCCCTGGAGGCCCAGGAATTCCATCAAGACCTTGGTTACCTTTAGGACCAGGAGTCCCAGTTCTACCTGGAAGACCTGGGCTACCTGAAGCAAAACCAGAACTAATGTTGAATTTGTACCTTATTACAGGGAAAGCTTTGKGGTTTACCTTCATTTCAGAAACAAGAATTTATTGTACCTGGCAGTCCAGTAGGTCCTGGGTATCCTTTGACTCCAGGAGATCCATCTGAGCCTTTTGAACCTTGGAAGCCTGGAGGGCCTGGAACAGTAGGAATTAAACAAGAGTTAGAATAAAACAGAGAACAAAAGTGAAAGAAAGATGAAAGAAGAGTCTCCATAAAATACATCACAAATTGCCTAAATTCAATGACTGATTAGAATTAACCATTTTGTCCAACAGGTCCTGAGTTTCCTTTGGCTCCATAGTTTCCTGGGACACCCTGTGGTCCCTCAATACCAGGTTCCCCTTTCGGACCTTTCATCATGATTAAACTGCTTATCCCTGGTTCACCCTGAGGGCAAAATAGAAACAAAAACAGACAGCAGGTTGTTTTAAAGTTTATAAACTTTTTGAAAATTTATGAGGACTGATCAGAAACATTTTGGTGATGGTGCTCATCCACTAAAGTACTGCCTTTTGTCCTGTTGGTCCAGGTGGACCATATCCATAGCTTGACTCCCCAGGAGCTCCTTTGTAACCAGTTAGACCTTGAACACCATTTGCTCCGGGTATTCCAAGGATTCCTGGATCACCTTTTATTCCTTTATGTCCTATAAAGAATTAAAACATCTGTATGACTTTTATGCAACAATTTTTCTCTGGGTACATTTGAATAAAAATCTATATATAGTCCTATAATATTTCACCACACTGTTAAGTTCATAGAGAAACATGGGTAATGGTAGGGGAAGTGCTGCTTCATTTTAATTGCTAGATAATCATATCCAAATTGCACTTTTATGAGTATGATTTTAATCATAGAATTACTTGGGTCAAAATTCTTCTCTTTTCATGTCTTTTTACTTTTTTCAACCTAATTTCACAAAACATGCAATGGCATTAGACGGAGATTTTGAATCTATAAAATTAAGTTTCAAAGAAGTGAAGCCCTTAACACAAAAAGTAGGTTTTACCTGAATGACCTCTGGGCCCAGCATTTCCCGGGGGTCCTGCAGGACCTCGAGTTCCTTGGGACAGCACTTCTCCATCAAGACCTGGTTCACCAGGAGGACCTTTACACATAGAGTTACACAGGATGTACTCAATACATTTTCATAAAATTTACAAGATAAAGTGATGACAAACTGAATAATACTAAATTCAAACCTCTTAGCCCTTCAATCCCAGATAATCCTGCATTTCCTTTCTGCCCCTTTGTTCCAGTTCTACCAGGATCTCCACTAGGACCAGGCAAACCAGGTTGTCCTAACAGAACAACATTAAAGTACTTCAACCTGCTGTGTAATATAGAGTATTTTAAATAATGGAATAAAGAATTTCAAGATCTTCATAAATTATTTTGTTTAAAAAATCATTTTCTACAAAACATACTGAAATAAAATATTTTTAAACAATAACAACACATATTTCAAAATGATTTGTACTATAGAGTATTGTAAATAATGCAATAAAGAATTTGAAGATCTTCATAAATGATTTTGTTTAAAAAAATCATTTTCTACAAAACATACTGAAATAAAATATTTTTAAACAATAACAACACATATTTCAAAATGAGTTGTACCTGGTGCTCCGGGGTCCCCAGGTGGTCCAGTTGAATTAAAAATGGACACTGGCCCTGTAAGGCCTCTGGAACCTGGCTCTCCATCCATGCCAGGTRATCCTTGGAGACCTTTAGCTCCATCAGGGCCTCGGTCCCCTGTAAACATCATAAGGGTTTTGTTTGTGAATCACAGCTACAACAAATCACTCTCAAAGGAAAAACAAAAATATTTAGTCCTGAGATGATATTCTGTACTTAGCATWTTTAAATATATTTGATTAATTAATGAATAAAAATAAAAAGGGATGTCCTTGCATTACCTCTTGGACCAGGTTGCCCTATATTACCAGGTATTCCCTCTGGTCCATGCCCTGAYATCCCATCAGGTCCAGAATCTCCTCTTGGTCCTTGAAAAAATATTGTAATGTACAAATTAACATCTTTAGACCAYAKAGTGATCTTAAGTTGGATTAAGYTTTTCCCACATCTCTCATACACAAGGTTATGAGGAAACTTTTACCAAGGTATTTCTCATTACTTGTTAATATCTTGACTGTGTGAAGTGAAAAGTGACACAAGAAGTGGATGTTCAGACGAGTTCAAGTTGATTCATAAAAKAYTATGCAATCRTTTATTTACACAAACTGAACAGATCATAAGTTACACTTAATTGTGGTTATTTCTATAACAAGCGTCAGAGTTAAATGAGATAAAACCCGCGTCCGAATTTCAATTCACATCAACTCAGATTACTTATATAGAACAGTAAAAACGTCAGTTCTGATGTTAACAACCAAACAATTTTACTGGCATTCTTAGCTTAAGTTTTGGCAAATTAAGAACAAGGAAAGGAGGAAAGTAAGATTAGTATGTTACTACGACTTTTACTTTTATCAAAGTGTGGGTCAACCGGAACGGCACATCTTTTCTAAGCTCAGGTTCCAAATGACACGTCACTCCGAACACATCAGCTTTACCTGGTGATGACTTCTTAAGGCACTCTCAGGGTGGGAGCTGGCTTGCTTCTGATCCGTCAGGGAACTGATGTCGGCACGCTTACCAGTTATTGGCGAACAGGTGTCTTTCCAGGTAACTTTTGTCAGTTTCAGTCCAAGCCAGAAAAATTCAAGCCATATCCGGTTC